TGAAGAATTACGGAAGAGCTGCTGGTGGTATTGGCGATATATTCAGATTCAGTAGAATGAGTATTAATCATGAGTATTAATCTTTAACGTTGTTTTATTGAACAGATTACGTACTGCGCTGTATTCTATATTCATAGACTTGGCGAACATGGTTAACACTGTTCTTTTATTGTTCTCTCTCCCTAATGTTTCTTTTTCACATATTCTATCACACTCAATAACCACTTGCGTTTTAGTGGCTTTATTGCCTTGCTTGAAGTTAAATGATAAAAAAATCACAGCCTTGAAGAAATTACTTCGCAGAGCATTCCTACTATACTGAGATCTAGCTTCAGTAAGTGATCTATATCTGTGACCCTGTGCCATACTAAGCTAATCCTATTAAATATCAACTGTAATAACCTGCTCTAGTCCTGCGTACTGTATTTCGGCGCTATAGCTTTGGCAATTGACATGTAAAACTGGAAAATGATATGCCAAATAACATGGAAACCATGAAACATGACCGTCTCACTTGGACATCTAAATAAACAAAAATTAAGCATGACTGACTTTTCAAACGGAGGTTTTGTAATTTTTTGATAACAAGCTGTTGCCTGGATGAAACTGGAGACAGTGAGTAAAACAACGAGAGAGAGAGAGAGAGAGAGAGAGAAACAGTGAAATGAGAGAGAGAGAGAGAGAAACGAGGTAATTGGGAAAGAGATGAGGAGGAGAGAAAGAAAGAGAAGATAAGATAAGATGACGGAGAGGAAAAAGGGTAGTAAAAATAGAAAGAAAGATGCAACAAAGAGGAAAGAAGAATGAGTGGATCAATGAGCAAAGAAGTACAATTGAATGAGGAAAAGGATAAGTAGAACGAAGAGTGAAGGGGTGAAAGGAGAAAGGCGGTGGAAGAGGAGGAGGAGGAGGAGGAAGAAGAAGAAGAAGAAGAAGAAGAAATAGGAAGTAATAAAAAAGTAATTAAGAGAGCATCGATCAAAAGGTAAAAGAGAATGAGGGTGCGAAAGAAAAGAAATGAGAAAACAGTCGCAAGTCATAGTAAAATGGACAAGAGAAGCTGGTTGTAAAATGGGGAAAGGGTATCTTATTTAATTATGCTAAACCGTAGGATCAATTCAAAACATCGACCCAACCAACATAGCATTTTTTTTATATATATATATATATATATATATATATATATATATGTGTGTGTGTGTGTGTGTGTGTGTGTATGTATTATAATATTTTTTGTTTAAAAATATGATTCCTTCGCTACACAAGAGTTCTCATGTTTCAAAAACGAGAGCCGAAACCATCCAAACAATTATTAAAATTAAGTTGAATTGAGGTGTTTTGTCCCGTTTCATCTTCAAGCGAAATTTTAGGAATAAGCTATCTCTTGATGAAACGGGACTAAACACCTCAATTCAACTTAATTTTTCAAATGTTCAAAATATTTATATTTCGATATTGAATAACCCATAGAGGTGTTGATATACCGCTAAACAAAATCAGCCGACATGAAAGAAGCCTTTCATAATATTGATCCATATAATATAGATACAATTTCTTAAAGAAATAAAACTGTATTCCAAAATATAACTTAAACAAAACTACACTATAAAAAACACATATCATCACCTCTAGTAATTATGTCCCCATAAAAATGTATATGAGCAAAATCTGAGTATCATCTACCATGTATTCAATTGTGAAAGGAGAATAACATATAACATATTTGTAATTACTTCACCTCATACAAGAGAATTAAATTTCAACATTAAATGACCCAAACAAATCAATTAAAACAATTTTAATGAAGTTTCAGCATTATCATCAGTCCCCTGGCTAGTTCCCTCCGTCTGTCTGAGTTGAACGCCGGACATGTATTCATTTGTGCGTAGTGCATTTTGGGAAAGTAGATCTCATTCGTCTCTAGAGCCAAACCACAGGCGATGTCCTTCAACTTGAAGGCTTGCCTTATCAGTGGAACTATTCGCCCTGGTCCCTGTCTTCAGTCGAAGAACACCTGTGTTCAGCAACACCGTGTCATCAACGCTTTAGCTGCGTACATAGATATGAAGTTCAGTATAACCCATTGTACTCGATGGCTATTGACATTCCAATAGTTACCTCCAGAGAAACACGATGACTAAGGTTTAAAATGAATTATTAAAAGTGAAAAATCTTTCTTAAAGCTTTGATTTTAATTTCAAGCTAATAGATTAAATTTAATATTTTCAAAAGGCAAAAATACTTTGCTCTATTTCAAAACTAATTTACATTGACTGGAAGGAGCTTTTTATTTGCTAAAAAATCTGATTTCAGCGCAATTTATTTATTGCAATATAATTATCTTTAGTAAAAAATCTTCCAACAATAAAGAATAGTTTTCTGAAACTTTGATTGAGGAATATTAGCTGATTTGAAGTATAATTAATCTGATTTTAAACAAATATTATTTTGAGTTTAAAATATTGAAGATAGGTATTTTTAACACGACGGTAAGTTTTTATTAAAGGTGTTAACAATGTTTATTTAAGGTGTAGATAGCTTTATATATTTTTGAAAGATTTTTTTAATAGAGAGAATTACCGAAATTCCCCATGTATAATACGCATTTTTCCTAAGAAATAATAAGCAAAAATAGGGGTGCGTATTATGCACAGCTACAAAAAAATCTTTAAAAAATTGCCGTTCCATAGGTCGATTTTATTTACGAAATGACTACTCATCACAAACATACGACAATTTGACACAAACCATCGGCGATTGCGACCCCATAAGGATGTCAAATATAATCATATGAACCTAGCAATACTTACAAATGTAAAATAAAATAAGAATTATCATAAAACTAAATTAGAATAATATTATTCTAAGTTTAAAACCATTTTTTTAAAATAAGAGTAGGAAACGCTGGCCGTAATGAAATTGGAGAGGAACAATTTATAGTATTTGATTACTAAACAAGGGGTGCATATTATGCGTGAGTAGAAGCATTTGCCCACACATTCAACAACAGGGGTGCGTATTGAGGACGAAGGCGTATTATACATGGGGAATTACGGTACATTGTACTGAAGGATGACTAAAAATGGCGCTAAAATCAGCGATTTTAAGCGTTGAAAACATCTCCTTCCAGTCATTTTAAATTAGTTTTGAAATAAAGTATTTTGCTTATTGAAAATATTAAATTTAATCTATCACCTTGAAATTAAAACAAAAAATAAAAGCCTCAAGAAAGGTTTTTCATTTTCAAAAATTCATTTTAGACATTAGCTATCGCGTTTCTTTGGAGGCTATATATATATATATATATATATATATATATATATATATATATATATATATATATATCCATCTGCTTCTTTGTCTGTGTTGTGCTATTCATCTCTGTTTCAGTCGGTTCACATCTATCTATATTAACGTGTATATATGTAGCTTTCTGTTTCCAGGCATGTCTCGTTCTATTCTTCTATTTTAGTCTTTTCGTATCTACCGATATCAGTCTGTACATATCTATCTATCTAGGTAGCTAGCTAGCTAGCAAACTATATGTCTGTTGACATCTGTCTCGATCTATTCATATCTATGTGGATCATGGTTTGCTCATATAACAGTCTGTTAATATCTATCTATCTATCTATCTATCTATCTATCATCTATCTATCTATCTATCTATCTATCTTATAATATTAGTTCCAAAACGAATAAGTTTATCTTATAATATTAGTTAGATTAAGAATATATCTATCTATCTACGCAATATTCTATCTATCTATCTATCTATCTATCTATCTATCTATCTATCTATCTATCTATCTATCTATTCATCTATTCCTATTCCCATTATCTATCTATCTATCTATCTATTTTAATTCATCATTTGTATCTATCTATCTATCCAGGAGATTATTTCTCATTCTATTCTTCATCTATCTATTATCTAATTTCCGAAGGTCTATTAATTAATTTCCGAAGGTCCTATTATTGTTTATCGACCCTTAGCACCTGTTGAAAGCAACCGAATTACTTCCCAGATCACAATACACGTTGTCTCCTCCCAGCAGACCTAACAACCACCACGCGAATCTTGCTTTCTTTACTTATCCATTGAGATTAGATATATCACGGTACATGCAATTTTCCTAGTCTTAGTGATTCTTTGATGCTTGAAGCGGCAATTAAGTTGTTTCAATTTGCGAGAAGACAATTTAAATACCATAATTTGGCGGGCTGATTGTCAATAGCAGCGAGATAATTGTACACCGATAACGATCGGTTACCGTATGCGGAAATAATCTACCAGTAAGAGCATGTAGCTCAGTTTTAGTGTCAGTAAAGGTATCGGCGTGGAGAGTGGAATAGGTGAGACGAGTTCAAATTCCGTCATAGTCTGTTGCGTTCAATTTGGCACTATTTGTGATTATTTGAAGTATTTTAGTCTTGTTTCACATGTTTGCCAAGTTTGTTGTCTTGTATTATTCGAACTCAAGCGGACAGAGCATGTGTGGGTAGCGTAACGGTTATCGTCATAGAAAAGGGAATTCACGCGCTGAGTTCAAATCTCAACCCCGCCTGTTGCGTTCATTTTCGCACAAATATCCCTGGAAAACGCATGAATCCATTTATTCTTCCTGAAACTATGAGTTAAATAGCAGACTGGACTATATAATCTTTGTGTTTAATAACAGTTTAGTAGACTATTATTTTTAGAGAGAAGTGTATCTTAGCTCCGGAAGTTGGCCTTCAGTATCAGTTGCACGACATAATAAGGAAGTCAATTTTGATTGCCTCAGCTCGCGTGGGAATGATAGAAAGAGAAAGGTCTTTCAGTGTGTTGTTTCTTGACCGTCAAGCGATGTGGACGTGTTCTCTTTCGTGTCTGAAACGGCTCCCTAGTGAGGGGGAGGCCTACACTCACAGGATGGTTAGTACATATCGGTATTAATAAAAATTGATAAGTTAAAAATATCTTTGTTGATGTCCTTTTATCTCTGGACCCAAAATAT